AAAAAAAGTCTCGCACTTAGGGCTTGAGGGTGTTGGATTAGTAGAGGTTTGGTCTATCGACGTTAGATTCTTCTGTATATAATGAAAAAATAAGTTATTTTTAATTGGATTGAAGAGTTTATTATTGATTGAACGATTGAAGATAACAAAGATTTGATAATAGAAATGAAACAAAAGCTAAACTAATAAAAATGTTATACAACAAAGCAATTCTCAAACAGAACTTTTTTTTTAGAAAATCCTGTGCTCCGATACTACTAAAACCAATGTCTTATATGGCTATGATATAAACTGGCATGTTTATATAAATATATTGTAAAAACACATAATAGTCGATAATAAAATTTATATTGAAACTAAGGTGACCATACGTCCCGGTTTGGCCGGGACAGTCCCGGATTTCCACCTTATGTCCCGGGTTTTTTCAAAAGCAGTATATGTCCCGGATTTAGTTTTTTGGTCCCGAATTGTCCCGGTTTTAAATTGAATTGAGAAGTAAATTTATTGCGACAAACAAACATATGCCATTTTTTTTCAAATTAATTTCAAAGAAAATTAAATAGAATTTTATAGAAGACTCAAGCGATAAAACACAGATCGAAAAATATAAGATATAATATAATACCATAGATAAAAAAGTAATAAATGTAATCAAATAATAAAGTTCTTACTAAAAATCCGAAATTCTGATTAAAAAAATTGATTTATTCTTTCGAAGGCACTGCCCCTCCCCTCCGTCCCGAATTTGACCAAAAAAATATGGTCACCTTAATTAAAACCTTTTACAATACCTAGTTACTAGCTTCATCATCGAAAGGATCTTATGGCATATTAAACGAAAACGCGTTATAGGAGTACCGTGTTTATAGGAGGGTTGACTATACCGTCAGTCAACATCGTAAGTTTTATTCTTTCAAAATCTGGAAAAGAATTTCAATATATCTCGTTTTTTTGTTATACGAGGGCGATGCAAAAAGATTTTACCGAAGACAGTCGATCAGGTACGACGACGTCGAAAGTTTTCTAGCGAGCGTCAGGGATTTATTGATAAGTAATTTCCAGTACATAATACATTTGTTCTATTAATTACTTATTACTTATTATTACCTAATAATTACTTATAGTATAATTAAAAGTCTTGTTTAATATTAGCAATTCCACTAAAGTCGTGCGACCACGTGCAAATTTTGACATGACGAAAATGTATAAAACCTATAACTTACCGATGGCGTCCCTCGTGCGCAAGATGGTGATGGCTTCAGCAAAACACGTGAAAACACAAACCGGCACGAAAGAACCAATAGTTTCTAAGTACTATTTAATAAGTACTTGTATAGAAATTTATATTACACTTCACTCAAAATAAATACCGATACGCGAAACACAGGCCTAAGTTGTACAATTCGATATTGCACAATTTTTCGGAAACACGAGGCCTCAAATTCTTGTACGTCCTACCGGCGGCGCGATCGGACATATACTGAAGACGAAATACGATTATCAAAACATTCGGGATGAGTCATCGGGTGTTAACGTTTTTATTCGTAAAACAAGAATTTTTATAAGAATAAATATAACATTTTAGTATAAATATTACAATCATAGACAAATTGGTTTAAATATACATTTTTTGGAACTTAAATTTTAATGCAGTCTTTGGAACAACGTTTTTATTCGTATAACAATTGTTATTGTTTTTAAGAACTTTTATTTCTTATAATATTACAATTATAGACAAATTGGTTTCAAATATACATTTTTTATTCCATTTATTTATAACAATTATGGCCTATGCACCTTAAATTTCAATACAGTCTGTCGATCTTTGGAACAACTAATATAGATTTTTGGAGTAATACTGTATCCTAAATAAATTATATCCCGATAACTTATATAATATTTTGTACTCTGATTATTATTAAGTACAGATAATGAAAGAATAAAATTGTTATTCTATGAATTTCAGAAAGAACATCACTTATTCATAATAAAAACTAGTGGTGTATGGCATTGTGCCTTAAGGCAAATTGCTGGAACCCGTACAGTAACGAAATATTCGAGGAATATTAATGTTTTCAAATAGATTATAATAAATACTGTATCCTTTATTATTCTCATGAGAATTCTTATAAGAATTAGAGCTTTTGAATTGAATGACGACGTTCATATATGTTTACAGAAAAGTAAATAAACGACATTGTCTAATATTTATAGGAATTATATAAACTGAATTGCAGTGTTAAAATTATTTATTTGGCGTATATAAGTGCACTTTAGAACGTTAGATAGAATTAAAATTAAAATTCTAATTATTTTCGATATTCAAAAAAGAAAAATTTGAAAATTTGAAAAAAAAAATCTTTCCCCAAAAGCAATCGTTTCGTTTCGTCACACAAGCAGAATTTTTTTTGAATCATTTAAATCGGATACTTAGTTCTCTCAAAAAACTGCCATTTTTGCACATTAGCTCCGTATCTCGAAACGGCTCGACCTGCGTTTGCCAAATCTAATCACCACTTTTCCCCATCATTAAGAATCGAATGTTTTTTAGATCATCCAAATGGGATACTTCGTCTCTCAACTCGATTTCTATTTTTTGCACTCTTTACTCCGTATTTCCGTAACGGCTGGGCCTGTCTTTGCTAAAAACTAATCAGCACGTCCAGTCAATAGAAATCTAATGTTTTTTTACATATCTTTTAAATTAATTGATCTGCGCTTTCAAAATCGTGAACGAAAAATTGTATCCGCACATACATACGCACACACACATATATCAAATTTTTCTAAGGTATGCCAAAATGTTCAAACCTTTGAAACGTAAAGATGTGCAAAAATTTCATTTTTTGCGATTACCGTAAGTACACCCTATGGGAAGTTAAAAAAATATTTTTAATTTGATTAGTTTTGGCTATTAGGTGATCCATTTTAATTTTTTTAATCTAACAACAAGTGGATTTCCGGACATTTAGGATTATTTATTGGCGGAATTTCTGGCCATTAAAATGTACAAATATATATTCAGTAGAACAACGTTATTTCCCCAGGAACCGTACTAAAAACGCGTCTAAAGCAAGAAAGCGTATTATGCCGGATAGGGAATGTATTTAAAGGTGAAGCGACCGGAGCAAAGTGGGGTATATGATCGTCTTACCGAGTTGTGTATTGTTTATCATGTAAATAGGTTGTTGCAATACTAAATTTCTAAATCAACAACAACATACACAAACTTACTTACGCAACTAACTTTGTCCAATAGTCGTTTAATAATCAAAATAGTGTTTAAAAAATAGTTTTAAAATATTTATTATTGGTTTATATGAGCGCACTGTGAATAGTGGTAAAGAACGTGTGCTAGCAATCTTTAAATGTCTATAAACAATATCTAGTGTCCCGGGTTCAATCTCAGCCAGCCCGGGTTCAATCTCGGCCAACTCGGCCAGCCCGCTATCAAGCAGTATGATACCAGATTTTTACTTATCTCAAAACATGATCTCAAGAAAAGAACCATGTGTATCTAATATAATCGCTTCACAAAGAAGAATAGTTAACCGCTGGGTTGCTACTATCTTGTGCAATAGTAGGTTAAGCCTTCAAAAATAATTAGCCTAGATAAGTAGTTCTGATTGCTGTTGAATAAAAAAAAACATAGACACATACTTCTTCCACTTTTGGTCTCACACTATTACTATCACATAAAATTGGCAAATCGCGTGTTCTGGCGAAATCATAATTTCTCCTTCGGGTAGTTAACAATCAGGATGGCTATTTGACCATCTAATTAAATATTTAATGAATTTATTATTTATTTCCAGGACTTGCAAGACAACGTGCCACCGAATGACTTCTGATGCTGGTCATCTGTCGTTCAACGAAGGCGAAACCCTACAACTGATCCTGGAAGTTGACGCTAAATGGTTGCTGTGCTGCCGGGTAGAGCAGAAAGGTCTCGTACCCAGGGCATCTGTCATCATTTTATCAGATACTAGTCATAGATAGTGTGTAAATTAAATTAATATAAATCTTCCCTCAAATATATATATATATTGTTTCATAATCACTATTGACATATTTATTGACTAAGTAAACGGTAATGTTTCTTTTCAAAAATTTTATCGTTTCTTTAATCGTCTTCATACGGAATTACTGATTATTCCTCATGTATTGTAATGTTTTTATCATTAGCGTAAAACATATGTAATATAATATATATTTATAAATATCATCATATAGTTAAGTATCTAGACCATTTTATATGAATTATGTTATTTAATTAAATTTATTATATAGAGACTAGTGAATATCATTATTATAATAAAATGTGTTAATAAATTATCTGCTATATGAAATTGTATGCCATAATAAAATAAAACTATAATCAAAATTTAATGATGGATTTTTGTAATTAGTCTTATAAAATAATCACATTGCAAAATAAACATATAGTAATTTTTATTTAAATTTCTTAAGAAAAATTGTGGTTAAAATTTTTTAACCACAATTAGCTACATTATTCTGGACGCGAAATTATTTACACTTAAATCTTCTCAAACCATAAATTTTCTTCATTTTTTAAATGTGAATGATATTTTTTTAGTTTTTTAGTTACTCAAATAAATAAGAAAAATATAATAACCCATATAAATAAATATATCATATTATTTTTATTTTTTTTAATCATATTCTTTTGGACGCGGTATTATTTTTTACTTTCTTTCTTCTTAAAAATAAATAATATTTTTCTTTTCTTAACTATTTTACAGTAAATCCACGATTTTCCAAAAATCGAACCAAAAACGCGTCTTCTGCGGCCAAAAGTCATTTTTAAAGTGCAGAAACTAAAAATTGGCGTATTATGCGTGAAAATGTATTAAACATGTCGTCTTAACAAGGCTCTACCGTGATTATATATTATTTTTACTACACATTATTTTGGACGCAAAATTATTTTTACTTAAATCAATGTTATTTTTTCTTTTCAATTTGGACGCAAAATTATTTTTACCTAAATCTTGTTTTTCACTAAACCGTATTTTTTATTTTTTACCACAATAGGACGCGAAATTAATTTTATTATGATATTTTTTCTACCACATTATTTTGGACGCGGTTTGTTAGGTTTTCCTTTATGTCCTTTGTACAAAGTTTTACATAACTTATATTTACTTTTGCATTTTTTACTTGGACATTGTGAACAAGGTGTTCCTTCCTTATACATTTCTTCATATAACCAATTGCCTACTGGTGCGTAGTTGCAAGCTAGTAGTCTTGTTCGTAATTCCATCGGGCCCCTTGTGGTTTCATAAGTTTTATTATATTCAGCCATTGCACATCCGACCCTGTTAGTGGGCCCCCAAGCTAAGGCTCCGAAATGGTTTATTTCTTTATCACCTCTGTAAAAAATTGATAATAATAATGGAATTATATTGTATACAGGGACTCAGAACTCAACGTTTAGGTGAAACGGAATGACGGGATTGATTGTAACCATCGCGGGGAAAATCAGATGAAAATCTATCCGAAAATTATGGGCATTTAAAGAAAGCTTGAAAAAACAAGCAAAAAACTAAAAACCTCAAGTAAGCCGATTTTTGCTAACCTCTCTCATCATTTTGACCAAATTTCTAGGTTTTCCATAATGATGGAACATCTTGTATATATATATATATATATATATTATATATATTATATATATTACATTGAATTTTGGGAGAACTTTATATATATATTTTATACATTGCTTATAATTTATACTAACACTCCTGCGCCGGTGTAATTTTTCGCATTTTCAGGTCGGGCATCTTTTATTTCTTTATACCATCCTCTAATAACTTTTCCTATAGTGTGCTCAACTTTTTTTGGATGACTTGATGCAACAAATCCAAGATTTTGCCCACTTTTTACATCTAATTAAGGAATCCAAGAAAAAAAATAAAGACAACAGATACAAAAAAATTCAATAAATAAATACTAATAAAATAAATATATTATTATTCTGTACATACCTACAGCTCGACATTCATCATGTTCCATTTCGCACTGTTTTACATTCATCGCCGCTAAATATGCAAGTTCTTCATCCCAATCCTGTAAAATAACATTAACTAGGTGTAAGTGGCATTTTGTCTTAAGGTAAGTTGCATTAACTTCCCGATATATGTGAAAAAAATCAACTTATCAGGAGGCGTTCATTAATCACGTGCTCGATTTTCTAAGAAGTTTTGGACCCATGGTTTAACTTTTGTACTTATCTGATAATTATAAAGAAATGGCAAGGCTATTCATCTTGCAAGACTATAGTTTTGTAAACTATAGTTACGTTTTTGAGGCAGAAATAGAGACGTTTGTGTGCCTTCTAGATTACATAACCGCTATGTTTGACGTAACATCTGTTACGTAATATTAACGTTTTAATTACGTTTTAAGGTTTACTAGTTAATCAGTGCCAGAACTTAACAATTGTTTCAATAAATAGCTTTTAAATTAAGGTAATCGGTGCAACCATTTCGAGAAATCTTTGGCAAAAATCATATTTAACTCACATGCCCCCACACAAATTTGGCGTCAAAGGATTCAGAACGACTTGAACCATAAAGTAAGCAAATCAGATTTCTGACACTAAGAAACTTCTCCTTCAAAAAACATAAAACCAATTCTATTCATAAATTATTTACCATATAATGCATATTCGCAGCTTTAGGAAATACTCCATACTTTGATCGTCCTTTGCCCGTCGCCACTTTTTCTCTGTACCAATTATGGTGATGCAAAATCATTCGCTTTTGATGAAGACTTAGATTTATATCTTTAGGATCTTTACAATTAGATGCCCATCCATTTGCAAGACGTCCACAAGCAACATGTGTTTTACCTTCATCACACAACTTCAATTGTGGATCTCCAGTACAGTAGTTTCGATATTTGCAAAATGTTAAGTTGATAAAGGTCAAGACCAAGAATAATAAAGTCACTTGACGAAAACCTAGTAATAATAAATAAAATTATAATACAATATCCCTGTTGTTTAACCCTTTTGCTACGAGTGCACTTTGCTTGACGACCTGTGTGTACGAATGTCGCCCATAGACGACATCCAATGTGTCAACTTTTGCGACAAGATTTACCATTCCGAAGTAAATTATTGAGAATTTAAATTTGTTATTGAACTTTTTAGTTCTTTAACTGTAATTCTCAATATTTAAATACATTTTTATTGATAATCATCGAAAAATCTTAGAATAATTTGTGTAAGAAATGATTGAGCGGATTGCTGACTCGTACAGCAGTGGAAAACACTCTCGTAACGAAAAAGTAAATTAAAATTAGATTTATGTTGAAATGAACACGTTCTAAAGATATTTATAATACGTATTCATTTTTATAATTGTTAAACACGTTAGATAAATATAAGATTAGTTTTTCTTTTCTACACATTGTATAAATAATTTAAATTTTTTTACCCATCACGACGTTTGTTCTTCGAAGATTCAAAAACAACTAAACAATTTTTTGAAAATCGAACGCAAAATAAATAATACTTCAAACCTATATAATAAATAAATTATAATAAACAGATATTTTGAAAATAATTCAAAATTGCGTAGCACTAAAATTGTCTAATTTGAAACACATTTCTTTCGCAATTTTTACGCAAACTGTTTATCACAACAATAACAAAATATAATATTTTGCAAGTCATAAATATTTGTTATTTAACTATATTATGAAAAAAAAAAATACTATAAAATATATTTACTGGCCTTCTGTCTTCAGTTGCAAACGATTTAGTTTTGATCATATAAATGAATAAAAATTAGTATAAATTGTTATTATTAAGCTATGCTGATTGGTTATAAAAAGACATATGAAACAAAATTGTTGGCTCTTCGTCTTCTGTTACAAACATAACAGTTTAGAAATTGATATAAAAATAAGTATAAACACCGCAATTGGTATAAAACATATTTATTGCATTGACTAGAATTCAAATATCTCAATAATTTGTTATCATTTTCCGTTTTTTAATTGAAAAAATCTTCTTTAGCTCATCAGCATTTTTAATCCTTTCAATCTTCACAGCCAACACCAAGTGAATTCCTTAATTTATGGTGTATAAAATATTATTACTCCATCTGCTCATAATTAACAAATTACCCTTTGTTTCATCGAGTGTTAATTCTCACTCATCTTGTGGTAATACAATTAAAAGTATTACCAAATACGTCTATCGCTAATAAATACATTGATTTATTACGAAATTCAGCAGGCCTCACCCATTTGTATGTTTCAGAATCAGCCAAGAAACTATATGCAACAAGTTCGCTCTCTAATTGTCTAAGTTGTACTACACCTAAACAATTAGCAGTAAAGAGCTCATTTGAACTGAAGTCATAACTAAAGGCTTCTTTGGTTTCAGCATGATTGTTAAACCATTTATGGAGAAATAGAATGTAGGCACAACCTTTGTCTATCTTTGCAAATTGAGTAACTTGAGGCTTTACTGGTTTTTTAAAAACTGTGAAGGACTTCCTATTACAGCTCACGCTTTTATTATCATCATTACTTGTATTTAAATCACTGTAAGGAGCTTGTGGATTCAAGTCGTATCGTCCAAAACTGAACACTTTATCTATGTTAAAATATTCACGACCCATTAAACCATATTGAGTATGCCCCAAATCGAAAATATGAGCAAGTTCATGAAGAGCAGCCCCAAAACTGAATGAGTAACAACCTCCAATGGTTTTTATCACAGGATCAACTTCTTTGTTCTGGGTAATGAAGGACTCCAGCACGTTGTCCTGAAAACTAAGGATTATAGAATTAGAATAGGTTTGTAGAATGAAAATAGAAGTTGACATACCGATTTTGTACTTCACTTATTTCCACAGGCCAGGTGTAAAAGAAAGGATTTCCAAATAAAGCTAGATTCCCTTTACCCACACTTGCATAGCAATTGGTCAGTTTTTTAATATCATCATAGCACAAACTTGTCGCATCACTACTTTTGTACTCAGTGTTTGTGATTACAGCTAAAAACTTGCGTTTCGGCGAGGACAGTTTCGACATCATGAGTTCTTTTGCAAAATATTGCCATAATTCTATTTCGTTCATTTCATTTGCAAGATTTACATCTAACTTGCTTTTGTGGACATAAATTTTAGGTAAATCGTCTTCGTATTCGATGTTAAAAGTTTTGTGTGCATTTGTGTACTCATAAACTTTTTCAGCAAAGAAATATTGCATCAATTGTACAGCAAGCATCAATCTGCTGCGACTGCTTTCTAAAGATTTTGAATATTCATCTGGAGCAGAAATAGTGCCATCGTGGTTGTCACATATAATTAAAACCGGTGCCACAGTATGAACAGTACTGATCACTTTATAGTCTACATTGCAGTTAATGGTGTTGCTGCAATATTTAAGTTCAAAATGGTTTATTGATAATTTCAGTTGTACTAGACATTTGAAGACAGAATTGTGGACATTGCACATAAACGTTTGTATGATTTCTCCATTGTGATAATGGTTAATAATAATGCTATTATTGCATGTGCTAGTATTTCTTACAGTACCTCTTAGTAATATAACAGAATTACTAACGACATCATGATTATGCATATTACTTATTTTTATGGAATGATCCCTGCTGCAAACAGATATTTCTTCACTCATTATACCAGGTTTTTGTAGATTCCTAAATCTGGCAACAATGCGTATCAAAATATAAATTATTATGATTTGGTTTATAAAATCATATACCTATTAATTATATATAAAATAGTGCTGGGTCTGGAATACAAATAATATTTTAATATAATAATTGTAATAGAGTCTTTTCATAAAAAACTGAATACATACATTTGTCCAAATATGGAGGCTGAGCACTAAGTAAATAAACATTGTTTATTAAACAATTTCAACAAGTGAATGACAGTTTGTCGTATATTGCTTACTTCACACACATGTTAGTTGGCGCAAAATTCAAAAAACAAATCGCTATTTAAATATTTTGATTGATTTTTGTCAAAAGTTATTATTTTTAAAATCTTTTTGTATAATAATTGTGATACTAAAATATATTTAATTTAAAATAAAAACCTAAAAGTTACTAAATCAAACAAAAACTTACAATAATTACATCAAGTGGATGACAGTTTGTCGTATATTGCTTACTTCACACACATGTTAGTTGGCGCAAAATTCAAAACACAAATCGCTATTTCAATATTTTGATTGATTGTAGTCAAAAATTATTATTTTTAAAATCATTTCGTATAATATTTTAAATACTACATTATATTTCATTCGAGAAAGAAGCTTAAAAATAAAAAAATGGCAGGAATCATAAAAAATAAAAAATATTAGGTCCATGTTAAGTTTATTCTTAACATAGACGTACGATGTTACTTACTTCATATGAATATAAGGTGGCACCAAATTCAAAAAAACAAATGATTGTTCAAGTATTTTGTTTGATTTTTGCAAAAATTGTTTTTAAAATCACTTTACATAATTTTTGTCACACTAAATTGTATTTTAAAATGAAATGAAAACTAAAAGTAAATAATAAAATAAAATAATAATAAATAAAGGCAAATTGCTGCTACTTCCCGTACAGTAATGAAATATTCCAAGAATATTAAATGTTTTCAAATATTCTAAATACTGTATTATAGATACTTATAAATCTTGTAACTTTTATATAAGTTTACATGAAAAGTTATTGAACAGAACCTAATAAAGGGGAGCTAGAATGAAGGAACTTATCTCATATTTCTAAGAATTATACCAACTGAATTGCAAAATTAAAATATTTTATTTAAAGTATATATTAAGTGAGCTTTAGAATTTTGGTTAGAATATTGTTTAGAAATAAAAAAAAATGAATTTTTTTTGCTTTACCAAAAAAACATCGTTTTGTCAACACAAGCAAAAAGTTTTTAGTATCATTCAAATCTAATGCTTCGTTCTCTCAAAAACTGCCATTTTTAGCACATTTTGCTCCGTATCTCCGAAACGACAGGACCTGTCTTTGCCAAAAGCTAATCACCATTTCTCCCCATCATTACAAATTGAATGTTATTTGAATCATTCAAATCGGATGCTCCGTGCTCTCAAAAGCTCGAATTCTATTTTCTGCACTTTTTGCTACGTATCTTCAAAACGGCTGAACCAAATTTTGCAAGTCTCCTTATCAATAGAAATCGAATGCTTTCTGAATAATTCAAATCGGTTGAGCGGTGCTCCCGAAAACGTCGACGAAAAATTGTATACATACATACATACTACGTACATCCATAAAATGTAAAAATATGCAAAAATTACAATTTCGATTTTTGGACGATTACAATAACTTACCCTACGAGAAGTTAACCCTTTCCACTCGGATGCCAAAATTCATATAAATCTCGAAATTCGCGAGTGGCAAAGGTTAAAATATTAAATAAGTTCCTTATTACCATGGACGTATGATGTAACTTACTTCATATGCATGTCCCATAGCACCAAATTCAAAAAACAAATGACTGTTTAAATATTTTGATTGATTTTTATCAAAAGTTATTATTTTTAAAATCACTTCGTATAATTTTTATAATACTAAATTATTCATTAATAAATTAATATTTAGTTTAAAATGGAAGACTGGAACATACCGGAACAAAAAATAAAGTTAGAATACCATGTTAAATACAATCCCTTGGATTTTGCACCTGTGCAGGCGGAAGCTGAATATCAAGAAACACTTTTTTTGAAGAAGGCTGCGACGTAAGTTGATAAATATCACAATAATAATAATAATAGATACTAGGTATAAATTTTCTTTGGTTTTTGCTTAGTATTTGATAGAAATATTTATATTTTACAGAGGTAAGCCACCATGGGATTTATCACGAGCTGGTCCTGCATGTGCAATGTTGGAGATACAACGAGAAAAAGAATCAGCTCAGATGTATTTAGATGAAACAAGGTTGGTTAATAATATATTTTATTATATTATTATTTGATTGCTCATATTATAATATTTCTACAGACGCAGGGAAGCAATAATGACACGAAAGTTTAAATCGCAATATGAAGAATTTCTGATAGCTGAACAAGAACTCAGAAAACACTTTCTGCGGTTCAACAAATTTGTAAAAGAAAACAAGGACAAGATTGAAAGAGCTCAAAGAAAGGTTGTAAATATAAAATTTGGATTACAAAGCTTTTTTGTTATATGTGCAATTGTTTATTTCAGTATGAAACCGAAACAATAGTACACGATGCTCTCCTTTCTGATGTTGCAGAGCTGAACAATCAGGTGGAATTTTATAATCATGTCAAGAGTGTTTTGTTAAGACATATTGAAAAATACAGGGCCTATGAGGTAGGTATAAGAAAAATGTATTGTAATATTAAAAATTCACTTATTTGTTATTATTATTTTAGAAATACCTAGAAGATGTTGTAGAGATATCGCCCAATCTCCACAGCATTGCTGATACTCATAAGCGTTATCAGGCATTGGGTAAGT